GGAGAGAGTGGGCAATTTTGCTTTGTTCCTGATTTTCTGATTCTAGTAGAATGGCTTTGAGTGTCTCTCCATTAAGTCTAATGTTGTCAATCAGCTTGCTGTATACTGCCTTTATTATATATAGATATGTCCCTTGTATCCCTGATCTCTCTAAGACTTTTATCATAAAGGGGTGTTGGATTTTGTCAAAGGCTTTTTCAGCACCTAGGGAGATGATCATGTTTGTTTGTTTGTTTGTTTATATGGTGAATTACATTGACAGATTTTTGTATGTTGAACTGTCCCTAAATCTCTGGGAGGAAGTCTACTTGGTGATGGTGGATGATCTTTTTGATGTATTCCTAGATACAGTTTGCCAGTATTTTATTGAATATTTTCACATCAATGGTCATGAGTGAAATTGGTCTGTATTTCTCTTTCCTTGTTGAGTCTTTGTGTGGTTTATTGGGGCAACTGTGCCTCACAGAAAGAATTTGACAATGTTTCTTCTGTTTCTATTTTGTGCAATAATTTGAAGAATATTATTATTAGCTCTTCTTTGAAAGTCTGGTAGAATTCTGGGTTAAAAACCATCTAGCCCTGGGTTTTCTGTTCTTTTTGGGTTTTTTTTTTTTTTTTTTTTAAGGTTGGGAGACTTTTAATGACTGTTTCTGTTTTCATAGGGGTTATCAGTATATTTAAATTGTTTGTGTGGTCTTGATTTAATTTTGGTTAAGTGGTACCTATCGAGAAAATTATCTGTTTCTTTTAGATTTTCCAATTTTGTGGAATACAGGTTTTTAAAGTATGATCTAATGATTCTCTAGATTTCTTCAGAGTCTATTATTATGTCCCCCCTTTCCTTTCTGATTTTGTTGATTTCGATATTCTCTCTCTGCCTTTTGGTTAGTTTGGATAAGGGTCTATCTATTTTGTTGATTTTTTTTTCATAGAACCAGTTCCTTGTTTCATTGATTCTTTGTATTGTTTTCTTTGTTTCTATTTTATTGATTTCAACCCTCAATGTGATAATTCCTTGTTGTCTGTTTCTCTTGGGTGTGCTTACTTCTTTGTCTTCTAGAGCTGTTAGGTTGCTAGTATGAGATCTCTCATTATTATTATTATTAATGTAGGCACTTAGTGCTATGAACTTTCCTCTTAGCACTGCTTACATTGTGTCTCATAAGTTTGGTTATCTTGTGTATTCATTTTCATTTAGAAAGTCTTTGATTTCTTTACTTCTGTCTTGATCCATTTCTCATTGAGCAGAGAGGTTTTTTTTTGTTTCCATGAATTTGTAAGCTCTCTGTTGTTTCTGATGTTGATATCTGGCTTTAATCTATTTTTTCATTTCTTAAATCAAGAAAATAGTGCCTCCAGGGTTGGAGAAATAGCTCAATGGTTAAGAACACTGGCTGCTATTGCAGAGTATCTAGGTTCAATTCCCAGCAAACATACGGTGGCTCACACCATCTATTACTCTAGTTCAGGGGAATCTGATGCCCTCTTCTGGTCTCCAAGGACACTGAATGCATATGGTACACAGGCATACAAGCAGGCAACACACACATGTATGTATGTATGTATGTATGTATGTATGTTATGTGTTGGTGACTCTTGGGATGATAGCATTGCAGTGCTGCTTGTACACAAAAAAACCCTAATAAATTGTACTAATAGTTATTCTTTTGTAGCTGGAGATATCCATTCATCCTAGTCTTATGCTTTATGTTGTGTAAACTTGGGTTTTAAATTGCTAACATGAAAACATTGTCTAGAAACTACCACTAGATGTCAGTATTGCACTATCAGTCGCCCTGACTAGTCCTGCAGTTTGAATCAACATCCTCTCCTGTTCAGCCTACAGGTGGGTTCTTGACTGCCAAAGCCAAGTCCATTCTGGTCCATGCTATCCTGTCTCATGAAAGCACTGTAGCACTGAAGCCCCCCTCCACACACCCTATACTGATGATGCTGGTTTACAAGGACCCCAAGGGGCTTCACTCATCAGGAAGCACATGTAGGCCCTTGTCAACATTCAGGCTGCCCCCCCCTTTTAAATCTTAAAATAATCCATACATGAAATGAAAGCACACATATGGAGCCCCCTGAGCATGACCGCAGGAGCAAATCTTGATGCATAATGAGCCCCTGGGGACCTTTCATGTCCAAATCATAATATCAGATGGCCTACGGTGACCCAGCCTCCCAAAGCTTACCTGAATCCCATTTGCAAAGCCTGTGCCTGTGCCTGCAGTTAGGGTTAGCTTTCTCTTTTCTTTTGGATGACAAAATAATGACAATCTCTTGGAACACATTGTCCTAACTTAAAGAGTTTTATTTTTTTCAATCTTATGTTCTATTTCTGTTGTGTGTAGTATCCGTGTGTGTGTGTGTGTGTGTGTGTGTGTGTGTGTGTGTGTGTGTGTGTGTGGTTCTGTGCACCTGTGCACTTACATGGGCCAGAGGAGGATATTGAGCATCCTATCACTCTGTACCTTACATCCCTGGGACAGGGTCACTCACTGAACTTGGAGGCAGGTTGGCAGACAGCAATCCCCAATGATCCTCCTGTCTCTGTCTCCTTCAGCTTTGGAGCTACCTGTATAAACAGGGTGTCCACGCCAGCTTTTTATGTGGATGCTGACCAGTTGAACTCAGGTCCCTGTTCTCATGTATCAAATGCTGTGGGGCTACCTCCCAGCCCCCTGTGAAAAGCTTCAACACCAGGCTAACCACTGTGGCCTGTGGGATCATTGGGAAAGACACCTGCTAGGTTTAGAATATTTTCTGAGCAGTGAGTAAGTATGCGCCGTGCACTGGTATGATTGGAAGGTCTTTGTCCATAAACTTGTAAATTAATTTTCATATACTTGCTTGTTGATTAGGGAGAGTACGTTTTAGTGCCAGCCACCTTAGTCCAGAATTTCAAAATAGAGTAATAGAATTTGTAGTGAAGGGCACACTATATATCTAAAAATGGATCACTATATCATTTTTAGGACCTGATGAGCAAAGAGAGCAGGTCCAAAAACAAGTGCATGTGTGTACATGTATTGATGTATATCAGCTGATTTAGGTCTAAAAGACTGAGACTCATTATAGACTGGTGAGTTTGATGCAGAAATGACACCTGTCCTCTGTTAGATATCCTGCTTCTCTTTAATTTGTCACTAAACACACATTATCAAAATGGTACCAACAGGGCCAGCAGGATGGCTCAGTGGGTAAAGACACTTTGCCTCTAAACCTGACCTGAGTTCCATCACCAGAATCCATGTAGTAGAAGGAAAGAGTCTATCCCAGAAACTGTTCTCTAACCTCCACCTATGCCATGCAACACATGACACGCACACGCACGCACACACACACACATGTATCACACACATACATACGCACATGCACACACTCACATACACACATTCACACACATACACACACACACAAAGAAGTAAATGTAATAAGAATGGTAGTACATTAAAAGACTCCTGTTTTAGTGTCTTATATTTAAAATTAAGAAACATTTATGATTATCTTGTATGTGTGTGCTCAGATGTGTGTAGATATGCACATGTGTGCATGTGTTTGGAGGCCCAAAGTTGACATCAGATGTCTTCCTCTCTCTATTGAAACAGGGTCACTTGGTAAAGCTCAAGTTTACCAATCCTTGCTGATTCAACAAGCAACGTACTCAGGGGATCCCATGCCTCTGCCTCCCTGGTGCTGGGTACAGGTGGCCCCACACCTGCCTAGCTGTTATGTGGGTTCTAGCTGCCCATGGCAAATGCTTTATCCACTGAGCCATCTCTTTGTCCCTCATTCTTGTTTTTAAGACTCAGGGGCATCTTACCAAACAGATCACAAAAGTCATGTATTGCCAGGCATAGTGGTGCAAGCCTGTAATCCTAATACTCAGAAAGCTGAGGCAAGAGAATCACAAGTTTTGTTATGGCTAGGCTAAGTTAAATATCAAGTGCCTGCCTCTCCAAACAAAACAAAATGTTGTATTAAGTTTGCTCGTTAAAGGTTTTTGTTTCAAATAGTATAATTTACCTGTATATTGACTGCATCCTGGAACCTGACTTTATTTAATGGGATGCAGATGTTGCCCAGACTTATAAAGTTGAGCTGTTTTATGTAGTCCATCTGTCCACACTGCGCCATTCAACACCTCTGTTCTTCATCTTTTGCTTGGCCTGGCCCCTTTGTGGTCCAGACACTCATGGTCCAAATAGCTCCAGAGACTCACTCCCTCACCTTCACTTTTTGTTTGCACACTCATCACTGAAGCTAAAATACAGATCACCACCTATACTGGCTCATTTTATGTGCACTTGATACAAACTGGAGTCATTGGAGAGGAGAGAGCTTCAATCAATAAAATGCCTCAGTAAGATCAGGCTACAGGCAAGACTGTAGAACATTTTCTTAATGATCCATGGAGGAGGACTGTGGGTGGTGCCCATTCTGGGTGATTCAACCTCTGGGCTGGTAGTCCTGGGTTCTAAAAGAAAGCAGGCTGAGCAACCTAGGAAGACCAAAGCAGTAAGCTGCACCCCTCCATGGCCTCTGTATCAGCTCCTGCCTCCAGGCTCCTGTCCTGTGTGAATTCCTACCCTGACTTCCTTCAATGATGAACAGAGATGTGGACTTAACTTTTGGTTTATTGTATTTCATCACAGCAATAGTAACCCTAACTAGGACACCACCCTTGGAATACTCCCTGATTTGTTATCTTGTTAGCACTTGTAAAATTAAATGTTTTACTCTGTTATTCCGAGTTCCACAAAAGAACAAGGATTTACTTCTGTACCCAGCCTAGAGCAGGGCCTGCCAGTTTTCAATCAGATGTTCAGAAAAGGGACTGAGCCAGAGTGAATGTGGAGATCCCCTGTGTGCACCACAGGCTCTATCTTCCTTAGGGTTACTATTGCACTGTAGTAAACCCCTTTCTTCACATGGAGATTCCTCTCTTAGGAGTTCTGTTCTCTAGAGAATCTGATTAGTGCAACCCTCAACAGGCATCCTGGTGTACAGAGCACACAGGATCATCGAGTCCTGCCAAGAAGCCTTCATCCTTCGTCTCTTCCGCCAGAAAAACAAGCGTGGCTTCATCAAAGCTTTCACAGACAATCCTGTTGCCTTTGACACTGGTTTTTGTCATGTGGAAAGAGTGATGAGGAACCTTTTTGTGAGGAAGCTCTACCTGTGGCCAAGGTAAAGACAACTGTGGGACCTCTTTGTGAACAGAAGAGTCTTAACTTAGCTGCATTTTCGTGCAGTTGAGAGAATGTGTAAAACTTGCCATTCTCTCCATAAGGACCTTTATTTAAAAAAAAATAATAATAAGTTTATGCATGTGTATATCAATTTTGTGAAGAATACTAGCTGTACAATTATTCTTTGTTTAATTGTTCCTTATTTCAGAAGTAAAACCTGTCTATAAATGACCAGCTAGTAAGTGTTTTGGTAGCAGAGGCTCACTTAGTTCAGCCTTGCTGTTAAGCACAGAAGCAGGGACAACAAAGTCACTCAAGGGATGAAAGTGCTTGCCACCAAACCCTGAGAACCTGAGTTCAATCCTGACAACCCACATGGAAGGAGAGAACTGACTATGGGCTGTCCTCTGAGCTTTGAATGCTTAGACACACCACAAGTAAATTAACACATGTAACTTTTAAAAGAATTGGAGTAAGGGTGGCAAGATTGCTCACTGGATAGGAGTGCTAACTACTAACCTTGATGACTCAAGTTTAGTCCCCAGGACCCACATGGCTGTCCTCTGGCCACCACACATGCACTATGGAATGTGCCCACAAGGGTGATTGAGTTTTTGGTTGTTTTGTTTTGTTGTAAGTAATAGGAACCAAGTGGCTGGGCCTTGTTGCCTCACAATATACAAACGTAGGTCCTGGACTGGACCAATTCTAGCTTTCTGAGCCTGCCTTTCTTGAGTGATGAGCCTACTCTCAGCAAGGCCTAGTGTGTTACTTAGGCATTGCCATTTTACTTGCATTGTGTTTGTAAGCTGTTAATTTGGAAACTGTCTCCTTAGGTTCCATGTAGCAGTCCACTCGTTCTTGGAACAGCACAAGCCTGAAGTTGTAGAGATTCATGTGTCTATGACTGCTGCCATGCTTTCCATCCAGACAGCCATACTAGACATCTTAAACGCGTGTCTGAAGGAACTGAAGTGCCACAACCCATCACTAGAAGTGGAAGATTTGTCACTAGAAAATGCTCTTGGGAAGCCATTTGACAAGGTCCACTCCTTTTTTTCTTCTTTTTGAATCACAGCTGATTAGGTTGTCACTTTAAAGAGCGCAAGACATTTTAATATTCACCATGTCCTTTGCAGAAATTAAACTGAAGGTGGTTTAAAGAGGGCCTGCTTTACCTATTGGAAATAGTAATTTGCAGTGACATGTGTTTGCCATGTAAGCATAAAGCTGACTTTTTCAGTTACATATTGAGTGAATGTCTTCCTATATAATCAATGTCTTTGCTCTAAATTGACAATATCTGGGTATCTGTAGACACAGAGTCTGCATATGAATGCTTAGCAATTATACATCCCTAAAAAAGATGGTAATCTTTTTAAAATAGAAAGTTGGGTGCATTTTTTTTTTGGTGGGGAGTAATTTTGGTTTTGTTTTGAGATAGGGTCTCACTATGTAGCCCTGGCTAGCCTAGAACTAACAGAAATACACAGAGATACGCCTGCTTCTGCCTTCTAGGTGCTAGAATTAAAGACAGGTGCTCCTATGACTGGCTCATGCTACTGTCTTTTAAACTGTGAATTAGTCTTATTGTCACTGGGAGCCATGTGTGGGGACTGTACAGAAGGAAAAGTCTGACCACTGTGAAATACTCATGCATGGAATGGACCCCATGTGTTCTGTCCTATCTTCCTTGTCTTAACGTGTGCGAGACTTAGTGCATGGTGGTGTCAAATCTTCATATTGTTAATGGAATAGATATGTCCTAAAAAAGCAGAATGCTTTATTGAACACTGATTTCTGTCCGGTGTTACTGGCTGGTGAGAGTCAAGGATTGTTTTAGACATTCTTGCATTAGTCACATCTAAATATAGACAGAGCTTGCATCAGGTAAAACAAAAACTTGAGGTCCATATACCTTTTAACAAAAGTGGTCTGCTGTTGTAGAATGGCTCTAGCCCTCCTGTTACCCTGTCACATGTATCCTAGTCTGGAGCATGAATTATAAGGTCACCAGGTGTCACTTCTGCTCAGTGTATACTTTGTCAGTTTAGATACCCATGAGGCTACTGTTCATAAAAACAAGTTGCTGGCTTTCTAATACATAGCAAACCTTTTTTTGTCTGTGGTGTGTAGTAGCGTGCATTTTTTTTATGTCTATACACATGTGCATTCACCACTGTGTGTGTGTGTTGTGTGTACATATGGTAGACATGCTCCTGAATGTATAGATGCCAGAGGAGGACATGGAGTGACTTCTCTATTACTTCTTTGCCTCATTTCCTTGAGAAAAGGGTCTTTCACTGGTCCTAGAACTAAGCTGACAGCTAGAATGTCCCAGAGATCTTTCTGTCCTTTGCCCCTCATAGCTCTAATGTTATAGAAACATACCCATCTTTTTTATGTTGGTGCTGGGAATTTGTACTGAGGTACTCCTGCTTGCATAGTGGACATTCTTACCCACTGAGACATCTGACAGTATTAATAAGAACTAAGGGGTATCAACTCATTCCATTTTTAAAAAAATATAGTAATATGACATTATGCTTCTAAAACATTATTAGGATTTGGTGACCTGAAACTTCCTAGCCACTTTCTTGGAAGGAAATATTTAGGGAATCTTACTGTAATAAAATATAAATAACAAAACATATAGTATTTTAAATATGTTTTTACACATATAGTGAATAACCTTTATTGAAAGTATGGCTGTGTTAAGAAAAGCTATAATGAATATATTTTAGCAATAGTAAATTGTATTCTTTTTCAGATAATCCGCCATTACTTGGACCCTTTATGGCATCAGCTTGGAGCCAAGACTAAATCTTTGGTACAGGATCTGAAGATACTAAGAACCCTACTGCAGTATCTCTCTCAGTATGATTGTGTTACATTTCTTAATCTTCTGGAATCTCTGAGAGCAACAGAGAAGGTGTTTGGTCAGAATTCAGGTGTGAGATAAAAATACTAATATTATTCTAGGAGCTGGTTTGAATAAAGTGTTCATGGGAGGAGTGCTATATTCAACTGCATGTTATAAATTGAATTTCTGTTCACTGCACAAGGCTGTAGAGCTTTATTGAAAGCTAATGTTCCCTCCTACTTAACTTCTGTTCTATATAATAAATATTCATATCCATTCCTGGCAGTTTTATTTCCAGAAAAGACTTTGTGGTACAGACAGTCTCCAACTTGGAAATAGGTTGTGTTCTGTAAGTTTACTTGGTAGGGACTTAAAATTAATTTTATTCAAAGAGACCTAAAGGGATGGGTTTCATCTACTAGAGTGTCAAAGACTTAAGAAATTTGTTTAGAAATGTAAACATGTACAGTAACTGTCATGCTAACTATTCAAGACATTTGAGCCCTAGAGTCAAATTTTGTGCAATTAATAATTTTTACTGCTTCTTCCAGACATTCTTAAATAACAAATACAGAAGCAGGGATATTGCACCATGGTAGAGCACATACCTAGCACATGTACTATTCTCCAGTGTTGTGTGCGCACAAAAGTAATGAACTACAAAGGTACACAAAAAAAGGGTTCATTACTTGGTTGTATTGGGTTATTGAAAGTTACCAGTTTTCCTTCTGCCATCCTTGGAAATATCAATACAGTTGTCTTAGAATTAGTCTAAGGAAAGTTTTGGTGTCTCTTGCCCTATGAAAACCTTTTGGGGAGTCCTGAAGGAGTCCCTGGGCCAGTTTGAAAACCACTGCTCTAATCAAGCAGAGGCCATAGCAATAAGACAAACTAAGACAGTTGCTGTGAAAACAAGATGGCAGCTAGGTGAGTGGTCTATGTGGGTTATGTGACCATGTTTAAAATTACCACTAATTGAAGCCCCTTTTTTTAACCATTATATTAGGTTGGCTTTTCCTGGATGCTAGCACCTCCATGTTCGTGAATGCTCGTGCACGAGTTTATCGTGTTCCAGATGCCAAACTGAACAAAAAGACCAAAATGTCTGAGAGTGCAGAAGGGCAAGGTCAGGCCTTAAACGCCTCTCTGTTCACATTGGAATGGGAGCAGGTGTCCGCTTAAAGCAAATTTAAAATGCATGCAATGTGTAGGAAGAGTAAGCAGTAAAACCAGAATGAGATCCATTGCCAGAGAACACCAATGTCAAAGGCCAGACATCAGTCAAGAGTGTTCTCATTGCTACATGAGAAACATTTCAACCATTACTATTTTGGACACAAAGTCTTAATGAAACATTTTAGCATTCTTTGCAACTTTTGAAGACTATAAATGCACTAGACAGAAGTAACTGCAGGTTTTATTCTAGTTTCTATCTAGTAAGCATCAAGTGTCATTTTTTTTCTAAGGCCTGGGATGGGATAGTTAACACTTGTTTCTGCATAGTTTAAAGATCTATTCAAAACAGTATGTTCATAATTGGTTTGAATACTTATAGAAAAAATAGTTACCTGCTTTTAGCCATGTTTAGGATTGTAGAAAGTACAAGCATATTAGAAATAATAAATAGCAGCTGTAGAGATGGCTCAGTGGTTAAGAGCACTGGCTGCTCCTCCAGAGGACCTGGGTTCAACTCTCAGCACCCACATGGCAGCTCACAATTCTCTGTAACTCCAGTTCCAGAGGATCTGATATCCTCACACAGACATACATGCACATAAAATAAAAATAAAGTTTTAAAAATTGTTATTTACAAAAGAATAAATATTGATAGCACCTATTCCTTGCTTCGTGTAGCTGCCTGTGTACAGTGTCACAAGTAACAGCACAGAACTGTCTTTATCAGTCATGTGTCTCATCACCTCCACACATTCCAGCAGACCTGTCAGCATGCTTTTCCAGGGAGGCAGCTCCTGTGGAGCATGGTTGAGGCTCAAGGGCATGTCCCTTCCCAGCAATGCTAGTCTTCTATTGTGGGAGAAAGCCTTTGGTGTGGTTTTGGCTAAACATCATACATGATGTGGTTATATTTTATTTCTATACAGAAACAAAAAAGCAACTGGTCCTAGAAAGCAACCCAAAGTGGGAGGCGTTAAGTGAAGTCCTGAAAGAAATCGAAGCAGAAAATAAGGAGAGTGAAGCCCTTGGTGGCCCAGGTAGGAACAAAGGGAGATTGTGACATTGGCTTAACCTTTGTTTTTGTTTCTGAGACAGGATCTCATTGGTCTGGATTGGCTTTGAGCTTGCTGTACATCTGAGACTGGGCTTGACATTCTAATTTTTCTTCCTTACACTTCCTAATAATGGGTTCTAGGCAGGTGCCACCAGATCGCACACAGCACACGGACATGAGATGTCAATCCTCTGGCTTCCAAGGCCACTTCAGTTTGTTGTGCTATGCTCCAGATTGAATCATTGTGTATTCGAGAAGTGCAGTCTTCACTCCTTGGCTTCTTGGGACCTCTATTTAAAAATCAGCAAATCTCCATTTTTTATTCACTAGGTATTAAATCTGGTATCTCCAAGGAATCAGCTAACAGTTTTTTGTTTGTTTGTTTTTCTGTTTTGTGTCCCCAGCCAAGTGTCTTTACTAAGAGGCTTGAATGTTTCTATTGACTGAGCCCTAGAAAAACAATTCCAAGTTCTAAGCCTTCTACTTTCAAGCATGAATGTGCTAACAAATGAGTACAGTAGACTAAGCCAGAACTGTAAATCTACAGTAAAACTAGAGAGTAAATCTACATGTTTGAAAATACTGACTGAATTTTTGAACTGCAAAGTAGTAAAGGTAATAAAGGCAAATGGTGGGTGCTAGGGTGCTAGGAAAACAAGAACAAAGTGTAATGACACTATAGAGTACCACAGTGAAACCAATTAGTTTGTGCACTAACTAAATGGTTAGTTTTTCTAAAGTCACAAAAGGGGCTGGAGAGATGGCTCAGCAGTTAAGAGCACTAGCTGCTCTTGCAGAGGCTGAAAGTTCAGTCCCAGCACCCACCTTATGCATCTCTCAACCACTTGTAACTCTAGCTCCACGAGATATAGTGCCTTCTGGCCTCCAAGGCATCTGCACATTCTCACTCGAACTTGGGCACATGCACAAATAAAAATAAATCCTTTTTTAAAAGGCATTTGATCCTTATATTAGTAGATCCTGGTACCAATTACCCAGAACTTATAGTACTATGATCTAAGACCCAAGGTCACAAATTCTTACTTAGATAAAGTGAAAAGAATAATAAAAATGGGGGGGGGGGCAAGATTTTCTTACACCAGGTGATGTGGTGTTGACATTAGTGTGTTTCCTTCTAGGCTTCTTTTATGTTTTCCATTTCATGTTGTTTAAGTCACTCAGATGTGCGCAGCTCTTGGCCTGCTAGGCATATAAACCAACACAAAAGCTGACACTAAGAGCATTAGGAAGGGGCTGGTGAGATAGCCTTTGCTGTCTCACTAGACAAGCTAAGTTTGTTCCCTGGAAACCACATGGTGGAGGGGGGGTGGGGTATATAAAGGGTTTCTGACCTATATACACAATAAATAAATGCAATCAAAACTTAATTTAAAAAAACTGAGGAGTTTATGACTTTTTATAACTTGATTGCACAGTTCTCAAATGGCTAACTAAAAACTTGTAATCTAGACTGTCCCCGGACTTGGAATAGTTCTGCCTCTGCCTCCTCAGTGCTGGGGTTATAGACTTATTATGGCATTGGTTTTTATGATAATCATTTTTATTCTACTTAGCTAGCTTAGCTAACTGGAAATTCTCTGTATGTTTGCATGCCTGTATACATGCTTTACACATACATAGCAGCTTTATTCATTGAGAAGACATCTCAGATATTGTTAGGATTAAGCCCTTGCTCTGAGCTTCATCTCTAATGCATACTGTCTTAGCTGCCTTGGCCAATCTAAACTACACCAGTTTAACTGCTGATTATGTCTCCAGATTTTCTAATGCTGGTTTTATTGCTCTAAAGTCAACCTTTACATATAATGTCCTCTGAGAACCAATTTTCTACTTTTAAGACTAGATCACCTCCATTTTAGGGGTAAAGACAAGCCATCTTTTATTATTTAAGATTTGACATTTGCATATATAATCTCTTTGAAACATATTTTGGCTTCTCAGAGCCTCTAGAAAGATAGTCATTAGAAGCTTCATTAAAGCTTCCATTGTCCCTCGCCACTGCTTTCATTAGACTAAATAGTTGTGGCTTCAGCTGTGGTGACAGCGTGGGATTGGGGCCCAAGCCCCATTTTGAACCATTTGTAAATGGGTTCTTTAACGAAGGTAAGATGCCTTTTTATAGAAGGGGACAGGGGACCCAGGGTGGCCCAAAGGAGCAGAGAATGAGAATGAGCAAGCAAGCATATGTCATCTCTGATTGCAGGCCAGGTGCTGATCTGTGCAAGCGATGACCGGACTTGCTGCCAGCTGAGAGACTACCTGACCACAGGAGCAGAAGCCTTCCTGCTGCGGCTCTACAGGAAAACCTTTGAGAAGGACAGCAAAGCTGAAGAAGTGTGGGTGAATTTTAGAAAGGGGGATGGCCCAAAGAGAACTATGAAATCTGACAAAAGACTCAAAGACACCCAAAACAAAGAGCGTGCCTCTACCAAAAAGGTGGCTGCTAAAAGGAAGAAGCGAGAGCTGACTCTTACACAAGTGATGGGGACTGCTGAGGAGCCCCCAGCGGAAGGGGCTGTGGAGGAAAGCCATCACAGACAAACCACCAGTAGCCCAGAAGGCTGCGGGGGAGAGATTCAACATGAAGCTTTTGAATTAAATTTGTCATCTGACTCAGCCTATGGCATCCTGAAAGAGCCCCTGACCATCATCCATCCGCTTGTGGGGTGCAGCGACCCCTATGCCCTGACACGGATACTGCATGAGGTGGAGCCCAGATACGTGGTTCTGTATGATGCTGAGCTCACCTTTGTCCGGCAGCTGGAAATCTACAGGGCCAGCAGGCCAGGGAAACCGCTGAGGCAAGTCTATGCTTGACGGTTCTGCGGGCTTTAGGACAAAAGCTGTCTGCTCTGCATAGTGGTTTTCTTACCTTTCATCCACCGTGAGGGTGGTTTCATGCTGCTATACCGTGCAGAAGTCAGCCACCCCTCCTAAACTGCAAGCTTCCAGCATCACTGGTGTTTTCCCTGTTCTGCTCATATTTTTCCTTTATGTCTGAGTGTGTCTCTTACAAGGTATGGTATCTGGAAAATCTAGGAAATTTATAAGGTTCTTTGTAATATCAAAGGTAATATACTAATGACTTAGCCAAATGTTATTAATCTTCTAAAACACCCTGTAAAGTTTTAAAAATTCTTAATAATGTATGTGGGTGTGTGCACACCATGACAATTTGTAGGAGCTGGTTGATGTTGTACCTCGTTTTGTGATCTCTGGGGATTGCACTCAGACAGGAAGTCTATACCTACTGAGGCACCTCACTGTCTCACAGCTTACAGATGTTAAGAAATGACTCCAGATTTCATATAAAACTAAAGTGTTTTAGGAATTATTGTACCAAGTTTTCTTAGGTTTCTGGAAATATCTCTCTTAAAATCTACCAATCTATCAGATGAGAAAGTGACGCCTCCAAAGAATACAATGTTCTCGCTTTCCAGCTAGCTAAGGGGAAGTAAATACCAAAATTAATATCCTGAACTCAGTCTGAACCAAAAACAGAGCCAAGAGAAACCTTTGTAGCAGGGTAACTAAGGCAGCCTTTTGGAACAGGAGGCTGGCTCAGAAGGAGCCAGGGATAAGGTCCCTAGCAAAAGCCTTGCAGGCTGGTCAACTACTCAGCCTGCTAGGTGTCTGCTCCCAGGCAGTTTACGTGCAGAAATCTTCTTGTAGGACATTATCCTGTTTGAATTCAAAATGCCCACCACAGAGGAGACCTGGGAGCTCAGCTTTTCCCTCTGTCAGTGGCGAACTGAGGCACAGAAATGGACATTGATTTGGCTTCAACCACAAGGCTACTGAAATCTCCTATCTCACCCCAGTGGCCCTTCTCCTCTCTATACTTCAAAGTGAGATAGTTTTGGAAGATGTGTGTTAAAAGTAAAGTAGGCTTAATGTTGATCCATCTAACCAGGTAAGTGAAAGGTGGCATGAGGTACTTAACTCAGAGTTGGTGCTGGGAACTGAACTCTGGTCTTCTGGAAGAGCAGGAAACACTCTTAACCAACAAGCTGTCTCTTTAGCCCCAGAGCAAAGCCCTTTTGATACAAAATATATCAAAAAAATTGAGATTCCTGATACTATCCATTTATTTAAACCGTTTCTGGCTCCAATCATTGTGACATGAATAAGGGAGCTGAGAAAGTACTGTGAGGGTAAAGGTGTTTGCTTGTCACTAGCGTTGAATCTCCCTAAGCTGGATCTAATGATCATTGTCCAACTTCTAAGCTTTGGTTTGGCAGAAGTACAAAGAAAAAAGTTGAAAAAGAAGCCTCTAAGAGATTTTGTGGGTTTCTTTTTTATTTGTTTATAGTTATGAAAAAAAGAATTCTCATATCTCTAGTTAGATAAATTTCAGTATTTATCTACTCTGTGTTCCTCTAGTTGGTGAAAAAAAAAAAAAAACCCATAGCAAATGGAGTTCGTATAGCTCTGTCTGAGCCTTTTATACTGAGTAGTGAGTGGGGCCTCACTCTTCCTCAAGTTACTATTACTTGAATGTCCAGGGCTACTGCTGTCAGACACTCAACTGTGCTGTCCTTCCAGGGGTTAAGAATTACAGTTTTGCAACCTAAAAGAGTTCTGTCTTAACCCACAGGGTTTACTTTCTTATATATGGAGGCTCCACGGAAGAACAGCGTTACCTGACAGCTCTGCGAAAGGAAAAAGAGGCATTTGAAAAGCTCATAAGGTGAGATGGTGGCCCATGGCAACCATTCTTAGTTTAGCCCTCTCCAGGGCCAGTGGGCAGCCAGTAGCTTCTCTGGAACACCTTGGGACTAGAGGAGGAAAAAAAAAGAAGGGAGGGTCATGAACTGGGGGATGGCTGGTACTTGGGGCCTCACACACACTTCCCTTCCCTATCTTACCACTGTAGTTGCTTAATGTAGGTTTAATGAGTAGGATCTACATTTTATCCCTTACCTGAAATACTTTTTAGCATTTTTAGTTTCAGATTTTTCATATCAGAAATGTGTGAGAGAAACTGTTTCTTATCTATAGTGTGCATCATCAGACACACCACAAGACACTGTTGTAGGAAGGAAGCTTTCCAACCCTGCACCCTCTACTCAAGGGGACCTTCTTTTTGAATTGTGGGTTTTCCCTCCTAAAATCTTGCTTGTCTGCAGGTGGATAGCTACTTTATCATGAGCTGGGAAGAATTTTATGCCCTACTTCCAGTTCTGACCACTGTAGCTAGAATCATTCTAAGGCTTTGTTTTGTTTTTTAGGATGTGCTATTTTTCTTAATGTGGGTAATGTTTTTTGAGAGTGGATGTCATATTACCAATCTTGGTAGAAAACACTTTTCAGTTTAACAGGAGCTGTTTATGGAATAGTCAAAACTGGCAACCTCTCACCCCTAAGCACCTAGGGAGATCAGATGAGCCACCAGGAGCTATGTCGATAGACTGCAGTGGACTGATGACCCAAGGGGCTATGAAGCCAGGGTAGACCAGGCATCATAGAGCTGAGCCAGAGAAAGCCTAGGCCAGAGAAAATAATGGGGCATATCTTCATAACTGCCTTTCCATACCTTGGACATTGGCAGTGTCCAGTGGCAGTGAGCCTGGCACTGAACTAGGCAGAATCTAAGAATGGACAGTGTCATACAGGGCTGTCTGTGGATGCTCAGACTCTGGATACCAGGGTAGTCCCACACAGACATTTCTAAAAATGGGTATTCACAGGTGTGTGTCTCTGGTCCCACTGAAGGGGTTTAGCATGGTATGTGAATGGCACCCTTCCCTTTATATTTTCTAGAATAGTGGTGTTTCCTTGAAGCTGCTAGCTGTACTCATCCTCTTAGCCTATGGAAATGCACCATGGAGTTGTTAATAGAAATAAGAGTATGTTGTGGAATATGTGTGTGTGATGACAAGCTAGCTATTTCAGAAGTAGTAGTCTAACAGCAGTCATTATGTAGACATCTTCTTCTTAGTCACAGTTCTCAGAGCCTTCTGTGTGTCCTCTAGACTTTCAGCCAAGTCCCCAACAGTGAAGTTATTCACTGCTTGTCTGCAGGTGGATAGCTACTTTATCCTCATAGACAGTTATTCACTGTCTGTGTGGGTGCACTGAGGAGGGGATAACGTTGAGCAGAGCAGAGCTATGTAGGAGAGCCCAGAAATTCAAAAGGCCCAGAGCCTTAGGACTCTGTGGCAGCACTACACACTCTAGGTGGCATGAGGCTCTTGCATTTGTAAAGATGTGTATGAAAAACAGCTGAGGAATGCAGTTGTCTGCTGGGAGAAGGTGGCAGCAAAGATAGGCTAATGAAGACAAGGGGGCAGATGTAAGAGATACTTAGGTGATGTGTCAGAGATGTGGCACCCTCAGGGACGGGCCAGCTCCTTCCTACGGTTCTTTCATTGTTTTAAAAATATCCTTTTCTTAACTTTTCTCTGATCAAAATAATTGTCACCAAACCACAAATGAATGCCTAGAGCTGAAGTATCCTTATTAGATAATTGGTTTTCCTGTGCCGGGGTCCCCAAGGTCACTCCTCAGTCAGTGAGCTGCAATTAAGTGTGCCACAGAAAAGGACATAAATGCCACTCAGCAGGGAAAAGCCAGAATGAAGTTCAGGAAACAAGCAGGAGTGGTGTCGCCTGGAAACATGGAGTTGCACTCAACTCTACCACCAACCATGTGTCTCAGACATGCAGGCATAGTAGCAGGGACACTCATCCAGCCTCAATGTCCACAGTTCTCATTGAGGCTTGGTCTCATAGACACAGCATCCATGTGACTGACTTGATCTCTCCCACTGCAGGCTGCCAGAACAAAATGAGGCAGTTACCTGTGGCCCAAAGCCTGAGGCACAGCAGCCCTCTAACAACCACTGTTCCTTAGGCTCAGTGCTTATTCCCGCAACCTAATTATGGCCCATCTTAGTATGAAGGCCTTTCTTGGGACTTTTCAGTAACTGCACCCTGCTCAGTTAATATTTCACCCACACCCTGCTGTCTCCAAAGGAGCTGATAGGCTATGAGGCTAGAGAGCTCCAGACTTGAATCTTGCAGCTGCTGCTTCTTGCCTTGTTCATCAAGGAACTTTAATAAAAGGTGCTTGGAGGCAAATAACAATTTGAACAACAGTAAAAAGGCTACCATAAATGCCCTTCCCTGATAATGAGATCAACAACTCCATCATGGAGCCCTCATCTAGTACCTGTTGGAAACAGAAGTAAATACCCATAACTAAACACTGAGTGTAACTAGAATCCAGATGCAGAGAGAGAGGACACATAGAGACAGGTTGCAGAAACATATAGAGACAGCTGACCTGAACAAGGAGGAGCTAACGGGCCCCCAGACTGATAGCTGGGAATCCAGCACGGGACTGACTCAGAACGCCCCCCCCCCCAAACATGGGTCTCAGCTAGAAGGACTGAGCAGTCTAAGGGACCTCAGACAGTGGAACCAGGAAAAGGACCTTGTGGACACATCCCCCATGGAGGGATACTGCCTTAACGTAGAAACAGGAGAGAAGTCCTAGTCCCTACTTCAAATGACTTGACAGATTTCCATGACCCCATCTGGATGCCATAGCCCTACATGTGGAGTGGGGAGGGGAGGGGAGGGGATTGGGAAGGGAAGGTGGTCAGGGTGCATGTGATGGGGGAGAGAGGATAAAAGAGAGGGAAGGAGGGAGGGAGGAGGAACTGGGATCAACATGTAAAATAAAAAATTAATTAATTAATTTTTTTAAAAAAGGTGCTTGGAGGCAATAGTGGTAATATGTTGTGCACCCTCATGCTTCTCCTGGCTTGTGCAAGTGATTGTGTTTACCAGGGATGGTGCATCAGGGTAGATGATCTGTGTAGCATATGTGTGTCCTGAATTAGTTCCCAGCCCATGAAAAAATACATCCATTTTAATGGTTTTTTACCTAAAACTTAGCATCACTTTTCTAAACTCAGTAACAACTTGTTATAAATAGTCTACCATTTTGCATAGCAGTCAAGTGGTTACGCTGTTCAGCATTTTAGGACTCTCACTTCCCCAGAAGATGGGGAATTTGGTGTTTGTTTTAAAAATACAAAGCAACACTTGGGGTTCATTGCCAGTAGGGCATTTGCACTTCACCTGAACCAGGAGAAAATTTACTATGACAGGAAGAGAACAGGCTCTTCCCAAGAACTCCATGGGTGATGTTATAAGAACAAAAGCTGGGCTGCTGTTTAAAATAACCAGGGAGGAATGAATCAAGCAGACTGGCAACAAATGAGGACTGCTTAGCTGGCTTAGAGATAATTAGATTCAATTGCCAGAGTCAATAGATTCCAGTGAAGTGTAAAGATTACCTGACTTTGCTGAAGAGGACTTGCCTAGATGCCATCCAAAGACCCCTGGTCTCTTCCTTCCCACATCACATACCATTGAAAATTCCAGCACTCCAGGCAAGCCTGGGCTACATAGTAAGAAAAATATCATTGAAAATGTTAAAGCAACAATAGAAATCGTCAGTACCTGAGGATGAAGTGGAAAGAGGTCTGGAATTTTAACTATCTCGTGTCTGTCACAGGACAGCTGGAGTAGTTGTGTTGAGTGCTTGTGGATGCTTTTGATAGCAGTAACTGTCCACTAAAGGAATTTGCACCTGCTTAGCAACTTGCTTTCTTCACAGTTACCAGTTCCTTTCTGGAGTGTAAATTTTCTCAGAAGTGGAAATAGTGCCAACCTCCTTTGCCAGCAGACCTTTAGCTTCTTAGTGCAACCCTAGAAAACCAGAAGGTGAGCCATTGGCACTGAGAGTTTCACTTACTGTGGCAGGTACATGATGCCAATAACTACTCCACATACATTAGGGTACCCTGTAGTCAGCCTGTTCAGGTAGATTTTATCATCATTATCCCTATTTTTCAGAATTTTTTTTTTTAAATTGAAGCAAGGAGCCACTGAATGATTACAGATCACGCTGACAATAAGAACTAGGTCCCTGCTCCTGACTGCACTGTCTAACCACAAACAGCAGATTCATCAGGAAGCTGGTGTGCGCCCACACTGTGTGCCCTGTATTTTAACATGTGAAAGTGGTAGAAATAAAGAAGAAAAAGCAAAAACATTAGAGAAAAAGATACTGAGGATCTGCAAGTGTTCTCAAGTATTTGGCCCTCCTCTCGGGTCCTTTGGGTGTGGCCAGGAGGTGCTGCTGGGCAAAGGTTTGCATCACAGGGCCCTTGACCTGGCCTACAGGACACTGAGGAGAACAAGCCCTTGTCTGTCCCCACATGCTGGGGACACTAGCAGCATCTCTGTGCTCGTGGGTTGTTCCACACCATGTAGGGTTCCAAAAATTACACTTTCTGGGCCACATGCGCCTCTATAGATTATATACATTCTGTTCTTTGTAGTGTTTAAGTGGAGTCCTGCTCTGTGTCATCTCCAGGAAGTGAGTATTGTTCTGACCTGGTAGAGACTCATCCATCTTGGCAGCTCATTCTGCTTCCCTAGCCCTAGTCTCTGCTGAAGTTGTCAGTTCTGTGGGCTTGTTCCATGTTGCTTGCTTTACTTCCTCAGGTCTACTGCAGGTCTCAAGAGAAAAGGTCCAGGTGTGCTTGTTCTGTCACACTAGGCACACTTAGTACATATAGTCTTGTGAGTTAGCTCTCACATGCTTAGTGGTTCCAAAGATATAGAACCCCCAGCTCACTATGGGGATTTGTTTACCATAATGATGTCTGCCAAGTCTTAGCAGGTGACACAGTGTTCCTAAACCATGTGTGTGAGATACCTGGTTACTCTGAAGATTAGAAGGATTATATGGTCATTTTCATTACATTTGTTTATTGTTTCATGCATGTCTGTCAGTATTCGTACATGTATGCATGTATCCTATATGGAGGTCAGAGGACAACTTGCAGGAGTCAGTTTTCTTCTTCTACCAAGTGTGAACTCAGTCAGGCAAACACCTCTACACACTGGGCCTTCTGGCCAGCCAATGATCATTTGTATACAGAGAACACTCCATAATGCTTTCAAACAAACCCACAAGAAGTGGCTCCTATTCCCAGCTCTTTCCCAGATGTTGGTTATCTGGTTTGAACCCTGACAGAAATTTTATTCTTGTATTGACCTTGTTTCTCCTTTGAAACTAATGGTGGTCGATGGAGGCTCCCACCTATAGGGTTTCCAATCAGGGTTCTATTGTGTCTGTTTCATTTTCTTTTTCTTAATCATTGACTGAACCCTCCCTACTTATGGTCCTGAAAAATATCTGACTTTAAATGATTTGTTTTTCATTGTTAATAATGCTTTGGCCTTACAGCAGAGCAGGCTCAGTCACATAAACCAAAAGAGCTTATTTGAACTCTGGAGGGTGAGAAAGGAAAGCCCAGCCTTCTTCTGGCTCCAATTCTTCCCATTTGCTTACTTATTTCTGATGTTTTCCCTTGCATTCACTTTCACCACTTCAATCAGTGCCATAGGCAATCATCCTGCCTCAGCATCCTAAGTGTGAACATTACAGGTATGCACCATTAGCGCCAGCATATAGACCATCACAGATATTGGACTTTTGAAAAGATTCATCTAGAATGTTGAGATTACTCAAGTGATGGTACGATATTTGTCCCCACAGGGAAAAGGCTAGCATGGTTGTCCCAGAAGAACGGGAAGGCAGAGATGAAACCAACCTGGATTTAGCAAGAGGCACAGTGTCCACAGATGCTCCTACTGACACTCGAAAAGCTGGTAAGTCAGGCCATGAACCTAGTGCCACTTTTGCCCTTAGAGGACATTGTAAAGCCTGGAACTACATAGCTGAGTTCCTCTAGATAAACTCTTAAAAACACAAATAGGACTGGGAAGATTGATCACCTGTTAGAAGCACTTGGCCGCTCTTGGAGAGAACTTGAGTTCGGTTCCTGGCACCCATATCAGGCAGCTTATAACTGCCTATAACTTCAGCACCATCCTGTGACCTCTCCAGAGACCTGCTCTCCTGTGGTGTATATAAACTCATGCAGGCACACACACATGCAAATAAATAAAAATAATAAATATTTGATAAAGAAAAGGAAATGATTAGGGGGAGATTCCAGATGAACTCCTCCATTGATGCCTTGGGACAGCTGGGTAGGTTCTGTGACCTAAGAAAGCCAGATGACTCATAAAACAACTGAAGGAAGCTTTCCCTAACTTCCTCTGCCTGTCCTCCCAGGTTCACACATTGCTGGAACTTCTTAGGGTACACATGTGTCCTCCCTACTCTGAAGCACTTTCTGCTCTCTCCAGTCCCAGGTGTTTGGCATGCCACAAGGCCTGCTGGATTTCCCAAGGAATTCTATTTCCCATGGCAGCTGCCATCAGCAAGCAGCATGAGAGGGTTAAAGCTGATTTAGTCTCTGAGCGATCAGTGCATTCAGAGTCCAGTGGATCTAAGGTGATAGTTTCATGCTCGTGCCTTCCCTGTGGCACTGTGCCTGCCACAGGCTCAGAAACAATGGAGCCAGCTGCCTGTAGATGGAAACCCTGAGCCAGAGTAAATTAATTCTTCCTCCTTTAGGTTGTTTTATTAGGTATTTGTCAGGGACCAGGGAGAGGGCTGGAGAAATGGCTCCGTGGTAAGTTAGAAACACTTGCATGAAGGCCTGACTACTGAGTCCCATATTCCATCCCTCTAGGTGGCAGGAGAGAAGCCACTACTGAGAATGTCCTCTGATTTCCACATGTGCTATGCACATGTGACCGCTGGCTTCACATACAGAAATTCTGCTTCTGTGGGTGAGAAGGATCATACACTGCGCACTCTGGAAAGCACTTTTTTCTTAACTCAGCCTAGCCATAAAGCTGGTGAAGGAGGGAGAGTCAAGCTATAGGTATTGCACACAAAGCACTTCCTAGGGATCTGCCCTTGGGAAGCCTCTGTCTGAGTTTCCTATTGCTGCTGTAAAGCATTACACAAACTTGGTGGCATTGCCCTCCTTACAGGTCTGCAGGCTGGACAGATCTTTTATATATATATATATATATATATATATATATATATATATATATATATATATATCCAAGTCCATTTAAATGAAAAAAAACATTTATAGACAATATTTGGGAATTTGGGCGTCGTTCTTTCCAAACTACTTCTTGCTGGTAAGGGGTGCTGTCATGGGGGATTCGAAGAAGATTCAGAAAATCCTGGCTGTAGTCTGTAAGGCTGATTTGTCCAGCTGTTTTGAATGTAGGATCACCTGGTACTCTGTTTCAGGTGGTCTGGCTTGATCAAACCACATTAGTCTGGAAGGAATCCACATCTTTTCATTTTCTGTGGGCTGGACAGAATCTTAAATGGATGTCATTGAGCTAATGTCAGGGTGTTCACAGGGATATTTTCTTTCTGGCAGTTCCATTTGCTTATTTGTCCCAAAGCCTTAGATATTACATGCATTCTTGGCTCATGGCTCCTGCCTTCAAAGCCATACTGATGTCTTCTCTGACCCTGGTGCCTAATCTTCTCTCCTATGGGCCTCTGGGTTTACTCAGGTATCTTAGTTCTCTGTTGCTATGATGAGTATCTGATGAAGAAACTTAAGGGAAGGATTGATTGAGCTCTTATTCTCAAGAGGTTCCAGTCCACACTCAGCCAGCTTCAGTGTTCCCAGGCCTGTGATGAAGTGGAACACCATGGTGGAAGGGAGTGGGATTAGAAGCTGTTCATCTATGACAGCAGACACCGAAAATCAGAGGGTAAGTGCCAGACAACCTTCAGCGGCACGCCCCAGTGATTAGGCCCTATCCACAGCTGTCCATTCGGCTGTGACTTTATCTGTGCAGTAATCCTCGGTGAGGCCCAGAGTCCACTGACAGGACCGCAGGAGCAAACCTTGATGCACAATGAATCTCTGAAGACATTTCATGTCCAGATCATAACATTAGATGGCCTGGGCAATCCAGCCTCCCAAAGCTTACTTGGATCCCATTTGTTACTGTGCTAGGTAACGCTACAGGCACTTGAGGGTCATAATTCTGGCAATAAAAACCTTTAACACTCAAGAGTGCCCTTGGAGTTGAGATGCTTCAGTGGGAAGGAATGCTTGCTATACAAGTATAAAGACCCAAGTTCAAATTCCCAGCACCGATGGGACCTGCACCACCACTGCTATGATAGGAGGATCTCTGGGGCTTGCTGACTATAGCGACTGATCCTGTCTGGAGAGAATAAGATGGAAGAATGACAGATAAGACACTCAGCTCCTTCCTCTGGCTTCCACACAAGGGTTCGACATAGCTACACAAAAACATACAGGGATACTCTTGCACATATACCACACATACCCAAATAAAGTTGTCCTAAAAACAACAGCATTATCACCCCTGATGACTGTTGGAAATGAAGTTTTGGAGCCTTTGATCCCATACCTGTTGAATTTCCTTGCTAGCATGGCCCCAGACATGCACATCAGTGTGTAAGAAGCTGTTCCCAGCCTCTTCCCTAGACCCAGCAGCTCAGAAGGCTGCCTACTTAGCCCCTTGTATGGAGATAGAAGCACTGGTACAAATGTAGTTCCTGTGAAGGACCAGAGAGGAGCCAGAGCAGAGGTGTCTGTGTGCCACTGTAAGTCATGAACTGCCAGCCCAGTCTAACTTTCCTACTGGTTCCATTTAATTTGGGGAAAACTACCTCTGTCTTCTCTATAAATGCTATTTTTTGGAATTATAGTATTATAGCCATCCATGCGAGTTTAACAAAAGAAATGGATATAAAATGAGCATTCTTCCCTGTGGCATGACTTAAATTATCTTTTTTTTATAGGTGGCCAGGAACGTAATGGCACACAGCCCACCATTGTGGTAGACATGCGTGAGTTTCGGAGTGAGCTGCCAGCCCTGATCCATCGGAGGGGCATTGACATCGAGCCAGTGACCCTGGAGGTGGGCGATTATATCCTGACACCTGAGCTGTGTGTGGAGCGCAAAAGCGTGAGTGACCTCATTGGCTCGCTGCATAGCGGCCGCCTGTACAGCCAGTGCCTAGCCATGTCACGCTACTATCGGCGGCCAGTGCTGCTCATTGAGTTCGATGCTGGCAAGCCCTTCTCCCTGGCGCCTCGCGGTTCCTTCTTCCAGGAGATGAGCAGCAGCGATGTGAGCTCCAAGCTCACTCTCCTCACCCTGCATTTCCCGCGCCTGCGGCTGCTCTGGTGCCCCTCACCGCATGCCACAGCTGAGCTGTTTGAGGAGCTGAAGCAGAATAAGCCGCAACCTGATGCAGCCACAGCTATGGCCATCACCGCAGACTCAGAAACACTGCCAGAGTCGGACAAGTATAACCCCGGGCCCCAAGACTTCGTGCTAAAGATGCCTGGGATCAATGCCAAGAACTGTCGCTCCCTGATGAATCATGTGAAGAACATCGCAGAGCTTGCCTCCCTGTCCCAGGAGCAGCTCACAAGCATCCTGGGGCATGCGGGAAACGCCAAGCAGCTGCATGACTTCCTCCACACTGTCTATGCAGACGTGGTGTTCGCAGGCAGAGTGAGAAAATGACCATGCTCGAATCGCTGTTCATTAATCATTTGCATAGCAGTTTATTCTTTCCCAGGGCTTTCAGGGATATATATCTTCCACGATTTCCCTTTGAGCTCTGACCTGAGATATGTCCTTACCTACCCTTCTTCCTCTCTCCCCACTGTGCTAGGCTTCCAGTGTTCCATTTTAAATAAGGTGTGGCAGGGTTACACCACCTGAAAGAAGCAGAGCCAATGTTTCCTACTCGGGCTGGTAAAAAAAATACCATTGTGTTCCAGCACTGTCTAAACAGGAGACAGGGCTGCTGTTTTCACATTCCCTCCCTCCAGCTGTGTTCTTCAGCTTCTTCACCTCCCACTCACAGGGACAAGCCAGCCCACCAATCTCCTGGTCACCATGTGTATACAGCATGTACTGTGACTTGGCTGTTTAAACTAGTGCTTTGGTAAAAATTGTTTGTTGACAAGATTTGATGAGGCCATGAAGGACACCTCAGAATTCTTGATTGACTTCCAAATTCCTACTCTAAGTCCAAATCACATCAAAGAGTCTTCAGACTCCTCCCACCCACATGCCACTGATGTCATTTACACATGAATGACTCCAGTACCATCCTAGAAGCACCATATCTGCCCTGCCCATGCTTCTGTGCTGATTGCCTCTCCTGCCTGGATGAGGACCAGACAGGAGCTTTCTAGATGTGGGCTTCTCTCCTTCACATTAACCATGGCAGACAAATGGAAGACCAAGGCAGAGAATGCACAAGAATTCACAAGAAACACAAGGCTCGTGACTTATGTCATTGGATTCACAGCATATTTGTACCATTTGCAAAATATTTAAGTACTAGCTGTTCATTGTGTTCAGTAACAAGCAGTAAATTTCCTGCCTCAAGAGCTGATGCTGACAGGAATTCTAGCCTTGCCACACTGTTGATTGTTTCATCAGTGTCAGCCATCTTGCACTTTGAACTGAACCTTCCTGTTGACATCATGATGTATTGGTACTTAAGAATACAGTTGTCCCTCAGTATCCATGGGCGATTGCTTCCAGAACCCTGCTGCCATCCTTTGTGGTGTTTGCTCATAACCCTGCTACTGTAAACTTCAGACCATCTCTAGGTGGCTTACAGCAACTGATACAGGATAGGTGGTGTGTAAGGGGCTGTCCCCTGTGCTGTTCAAACAGTAAGGACAAGAGTCTGCATGTTTAGTAGAGATGCACTTGTTTCTTATATTTCCGATCATTGGTTGGTTCAATCTGAGGATGTGGAGGGCAGCATGGGATCTGTCATCCTGTCTAGGGCCCTTCGGTAATGAATTGAGAATGTCAAGACCCAGTTGATTATTGGAGGCTTCTATTATGTGGTGTGGAGAATAGGGGGAAAGCTTAAAAGTAAGCTTAAAGTGGAAAGGGATCTGAGCCACTTGTTTAATCCCAGGGATAGAAATAGATTCACCTTCTGGGCTAGGACAGAACTGCCTGGTGAACTGCATTCACTCAGGTATTCACAGTGGTTCCCAGCTCACTGACATGGTTGTGTCATTCCCACTTTCAGTGCATAGTCTCTTCTCTGTGGAATTCCACCTCCCTTTTCTGTTGTTTTGTTCCATAAAACAAGAATCTTGACATAGCACATGCTATGATGGGTGTGTGTCATTGAGGGCTAGATTTAAACAACCCTATAGCTAGTGCAACAGTCTTTTACCACTGGCCTCCATTGTCCCTCAGCTCCCTGTCAGCTGCTTGCTTACTGTTGTATGTGGGATTAAGCAGCCACAGTTTCCAGTGTGTTTAACCATGACTGATGGTTTCTGTTGAACTATAAATGGCTGTCCCATGTGAAGACCCACCGCCTCTTCCTGACTGCCTCACCATTTCCAGATGTGGAACCCTTCACAGACATCCTCCAGTTGTTTGGTTTTCTCAGGTTTTTTTTTAACACTTTTTTTTTTTAATCTTTGCTAAAGGAACAGAAAACTGCAGAGTGAATGTCTGACTTTGTTTCCCAGCAACGTTTGGCTACCTTTGACTTTTGTTGTAAATACCCAGTATACTAGTGAGCTCCTGGGTAGCTCTTAAAAGCCCTTTCAAAAGCTAGGTCAGCATTGTGGTTACAAGCTATTTACACGAAGCCTTGAGCCTAAAAATAACAAGAAATTATCCTTGAATTTACTTGATTAAATCCTAGCAGCTCTTGGTGTTTTGTTAAAATTATATGAGGAGATAACCTATTTAATAGTAACTGTCAAGCATGATGGTATACAACCTTATCCCGGCTCTAAAAAGGTAGAGGCAACTGGATCTCAAAAAAAAAAAAAAAAAAAGTGGTGTCCATCAATATGTCCTAAAGTAGTCATGACTGTCCATTTGGTGAACAATCTCTAGACTGTAGGCCTACAGATGTCCGAGTGCTTCATGGTACAATACTAGCTCACAAGGAATTGGAAGTGATCTTGTCCAGCCCCATTATTGGTCCAGAAAGTGTTGAGATACAGGGATCAGGAGGAAGGAGGCTCAATTCTGGCCTTTCCTTTTGTTTTTCCAGCGGAATTTGATTTCATATTGCCTTGAAGAACATCTTGGGGAAAATTCTGTTAGTTTAATTTACTCAGAAGAATCTTAAACTGTAACCAGGCTTTACATGAATTGCCACTTTCCTTGGTTATAAGGCTCTTATTTTGATGTTAACTATTTCCTGCCTGGTCCAGAGCTTCAGCACATGAATGTCCATCTTTGTCAGCAGGCACCTGATGGACTGCACTGCTTGGGGCTGTTCCTTTTTTGTTTGTTTGTTTGTTTTAATTTATGGTTATATAAGCCAAGATTTAGTAAGAGGGAAGAAAACGGAAATATCTGTGTGTGTGTGTGTGTGTGTGTGTGTGTGTGTGTGTGTGTGTGTGTGTGTGGCTTTGGGTGTATGTGTGTGTATGTGCATGTCTGTGTGTGCAGCATCTTCCTCAGCTATGTGGGGAAGTAAAAATAACAGTGCACAGTAAGAGGGCATATGTTACAGCAACAGACCAGTGCACAGTGCAGGTTTCATCATACAGAATAGATGGTTAAAGTGGATTTGCTCTGAATTTCTGCTTCTGTCTGTACTTGGTAATTCACATTCCATGTTATCAGCTGACTTTCCTCTGCTGTTCCCCTTGTTTACATGCTGTGACATCTCCTTATGGAAGGGGGTGGAGAAGAAAAGCTGTTGTCCTTTGCAAATACCAATTTGTTAGAAAAAACAAACAAGCAAAAAAAATGTGTGTGTCTGGGGCACCCAAACAAAGAGTCATCACCTATATTTTTATTCAACTCAAAAGTTGGAAGAGGCAAATTGTCCTATTGATAGCAGTTTGAATTGTAGTTTGAATTGGGTCACCACAGTGGTGTCCTGGATGCTGACTCTGCTTTGAATGTTCATGCACAGCCTTTCTTAATGGGTGGGAGACTGGCTATGTGTTGATGTTTTACCCTCTGAATAAAGACTGGCAAACTGCTGGACCTTTTCTTTTCAATAGTGCTGTGCCCCTGTTGATTGATTACTTGTGCCTTATCCACTTTAACTCCCAGTACAAAGCCATGAAGGTGCCACTGTGTAAGACTCCTTCATGGTGATGAAGCTGAGACCAGAGAGTTTAAACAGTTCGCCCAGTGTCACCCAGTAGTTAATCATAAAACTATGATTTGAAACCCACATAGCCTGATTTCAGAGCCATAATGATGAGGCATGGGCATGGGAGGGCACACAGGAAAGGGGCTATTTTCAGGACCAGTGTATGTGTCCACTATCATGTCTGTAGCCAGAGAGATAGCTTAGTGGTTAAGAGCACTGGGTGCCCTTCCAGAGTACCTAGATTCAGTTCCCAGCACTAACATGTTGACTCACAGCCATCTAAAACAGTTCCAGAGGATTTAGAACACTGTTCTGTACCATTCACATACATAATGCACAAACATACATGCATGCAAATCACCCCAATACATAAGATTTAACAACAAAATACACTTCTAAAAGGATGCTGGACTATGGAACCAGACATGGCCCTCAGTAGCAGCTTGGACCCAGACAACATCCTGGATCCAGGTGGAAACAATGGCCACTTGGGTCAGGATGGTTCTGGTGGCCTCATGGCCACTGGACACCACCAAGGAAGGCCTAAGGATGCAGCCCCAACCATGGTCTTCTATGTAACCTTTAGTGGCAATACAGGTCTCAGACTTCAGCACAGACCCCAGCCACAGTAAGACCATAGACCCAGACATGGTCCTCTACAACAGTTGGGTCTGGATGTCACCATTGCCCCAGGTGGCAGTGCAGGCCCAGGCACAGATTGACACAAGCACCAATGGCAGTATGGCCCTCAGACACCACACAGCCCCCCCCCATCTCGGGTGTCTGCACTGCCTTCGATAGTAACAGGAGCCCTAGACATCAGCACAGACCCTGACTACAGAAGGGCCAGGAACTGGGACATGGCCCTCAGTTGCAGCTCTGGCCTAAATGTCACCATGTCTATTGAGTAGCAGCACAGGCCACTCAGCTCTGCATGTATCCTGGCCCTCAGACACCAACCTGGTGGCTGATCTGACTTTGGGCATCCTCAGTGGCAACAGGAGCCACATGCATCTATCCAGAACCTGACCACTGTAGGCCATAGACTCAGACATGGCCCTCTGTAGCAGCTTGAGTCTAGATGACAGCATGGCCCGTGGTAACAGCACAGGCCACCCAGAATTGTATGGTGCCTGCTGTGGCATGCCCCCCCCCAGACTCCAACCAGGCCACAGGCTCTGGCACAGATCCCAAACCTCTGTGTGGACCCTAGTGGTAACTTGGGCCACAGACTTCAACATAGACCCCAGCTGCAGCTGGGCCACAGACCCAGACATGGCCGCAGGCAGCAACTCTGCCTGGTCCACATCCTAGCTCCAAATGGTAGCCTCAGCCACTTAGATCAGGATGACTCTGGCAGCAGCATGGCCCCTGAACCCCATCAAGCCCACAGGTTGTGGCCCAGACCCCAGTCTTCATGTGGACTTTGGTG